GGCATCGATGCTTGCGTTGTCCTCAGAATAGAAGAGGGAGGGGACAATGGTTTCATGGTGCATCATCAGCAGGACCTTGACGAGCCCTGCCACCCCCGCTGCAGACTCGGTGTGCCCAATGTTACCTTTCACAGAGCCGACACAAAGCGCTGGGGATCCTGGGGGGCGGGCTTTGGCTATGACTTTGGAGATGCTGCCAGCTTCTGTGGGATCTCCTGCCGGGGTTCCAGTCCCATGAGCCTCCACGTACTGGACATGTGATGGATCAATCTGTGCAGGGTAAATTGTGCGAAGGAGCTCCTGCTGTTGGGCCATGGATGGTTTGGTGATTGGGGTGACAGAGCGGCCATCTTGATTTACAGCAGTGCTGCATACGATGCCCCACACGTGGTCAAAATCCCTCTTAGCCTGTTAACACAAATAGGACTCAGCTGTGTTTGCTTAAATGAGTATCTTTATGAAGAAAATGTAAAACTTTGGAAGAAAACATTCTTCTTTTCAATTTGTGTTCTAAAATGGACAGGTAAATAGGATTGCTATCTGATATTGGCTTGTCAAATGTTGCAGTAACAATGAATGGAAAATGTTTTATGCATGTATTTAGAAAACACATTTTCAGTATTTGATTTCTTTTTGAATAAACTCAATGGCAGAAGAGCTCCCAGATGTACAATAATATACAAATTGCAAATAGAAGATGTACATAAAAATAATATTTTATTTTGAATTATGATGTAGTATCTGGATTTGGCAGCTCAACATGAGCACATTTATTGGTAGAAACATTCAAGAGCACTTTTAAATGCTCTTAAACGCACTTTAAGGGCAGAGCGGTGGCTCTGTGGCTCAAGATCTGCACCTGTGGCTGGAGGGTCGCAGGTTTGTATCCTGTGGCTGGCAAAGGAATCCTACTCCGTTGGACTCCTGAGCAAGGCCCTGAACCCCAACTGCTCCAGGGGCAGCATATAAATTGCTCACCCTGCGCTCTGACCCCATGCTTCTCTTCCTGTCTGTGTGTCTCATGGAGAGCAAGCTGGGGTATGCTAAAAGACAAATTCCTAATGCAAGAAATTGTGTATTGTTAAATAAAGTGATCTTATTTAAATAATTTTATACTGTTCTTATTTAATTTTAATTAATCCAGTTACATTTCAGAGTGCAGCCCTTCACCTTTGCAGCGAAGGTACAGTAAAACACAGAACTTCTCACCTTTTGCAGGGGCTTCAGTAAGACAATCCCACAGCCCTCCCCTCTTCCATAGCCATCTGCTTTGCTGGAGAAGGGCTTGCTGGTGCCTTCAGGCGAAATCATGTTTGCTTTGCTGAGGACGACAAACATTCGTGGCTCGACGATGCAGCTGACACCTCCACAAATTGCCATTTCGCAGTCCCCTAGAAAACAGTACCAACATGGGTTCTGAAACAGCTGTCTCTGAAAAAACCCAAATCCTAGAGTCTCTTTTTTAGGTTCCATCTAAAAAAAGACATCTTCATAAACAAACAGAGGCAGGGCTGTATTTAAATTAATATATCATAAATATGTGTATAAAAATAATTATACTGTTGAACATCAAAAACGAATCTGGAAAAAAACAATAAACCAGGTGTATTCAAAATAAGGTAGCCAAACTAAGTAAACTAAAAAATTTAAATTACTTTTGCGCACTTCCTACATGTGAAAGTCTTGCACCCTTCCCTTCGTGTTGCTCTCTCTCTTCCCTCTTGAAGCTTCATTTACCCCTTGCAGAAGCTCCTTAGCTCACTCCTCGCAATAGTGAGAGGGGTTCAGGCAGTCTGTCGCATGAATAGTCTTCCAATCCCTCAGTTAGGTGATTCATGCCAAATACTCTTTACATTATTCAACCCTCTACCATGTTCATTAGGATAAAACCTACTGAAAGCTACTAGTATTTTGACTCTTTTGATATTGCAAAAGTTCCACATAAAACAAACATGCATTGAAGAATTCACCAGAAACAATTTTTGTCCCAAAAGAAATTCAGACTGGCCAAGGACACTTTACTTTTTGACTGATGTGATGATCCCGGGGAACACATCTTTGCCGCACACGAGCGGTTACCTTGTCTGATGGCCTGGCAGGCAGAGTGAAGAGCCACGAGCGAAGAGGAGCAGGCGCTGTCGATGGCGAACGAGGGCCCCGTGAAGTTGAAGGTGTAGGAAATCCGATTGGCGGCGATGCTCATTGCTGTCCCCGTGCCATTGTAGTGGTTTATTGTGG